TTACAAGAATAAGAGATAAGAAAATGAATGAAAAACTCATTTTAAGAGTTGTCATAAGCTCCTAGATCCTCTATCTTCTTGCTCTTCACAAAATGAATTCTCCCTCAATAATTTATTGAAAATAAAACTTAAATCTAATAAAATAAAAATATTTGTTTTGGGATTTTTTTTCTCGCTTGGAAAATTGGCTGAAAAGCCTTATTAAGATGCTTGGCTATCTCTCCCGGGTTTCTCCTGGTTTTTTCGTTGTATCCACCAAAACCTCCACAATTCCCCTGTCTCTCGCTCGTCTCCTCTTTTTTTCTCTTCTCTGAAAGCCCTAAAATCCCCCCGTGTAATCTCAGCACTCATGAAGCACAATGTCGTATGGCTCAGCCAATTATCCTCCGTGAGTTTTGGGGTTTCCTGGGCTGAATTGGGCCTTTCAATTGTGGGCTGAAACCTGGCAGGTTACTCAGCTTTTTACCCATCCCTGGAGACTGGTTTAGTATCCCCTGATTGTGGGCTTCTGGGCTCGTATGGGCTTCTGGACTGAATTTGTGTGGGCTTTTGGGCTGGATTTCACTCACGCGCAAGAATTCCTTTTTGAGGCTAATTCAATCTTCGAATTTTACTTATTTTTTTCTTGCATTTCTTTCCCAATTTGGATTTCAATTTGCACTTAAGCCCACCTATCATCAAAATTAAATTACATAATGTGAAAAATAATTATTTTGAAAGGAAACTAAATAAAAATAAACTAAAATAAACTAAAAATAAAATTAATTCCAAATAAAATAAAATGAAATAAAAATAAAGTAAAAATATTAAAAACTAAATAAATTCTCAAGAACAAGCATACTTTTTAATTCACAAAAGAGGCTAAATAACTCCATTTCATGGAGTTATCAACTACTCTGTTGCTATTAGTCGTTATTGTCCGTATTCTTAGAAACATGATCTAAGAATTAGGAAAAGTTGTTATTTCCCTTTGTATTTAAACTCTTTTCAAGGCAATAAGAAAAAAAAAAGCTTATTCAGACTAAATTATGTGGTTATTCTCACCCTAAGTAGAATTCTATTTTCACATAATCCTATTAGCTTTGACTGGGACCTATCACTTTCATGGTTTGTTGCTTTATATACCCTAACTTAGTCTGCTTTTAAAACCATAATGTCACTATGAATGCTATACTTGACAATAAAAAGTTACAAATAACATATTTGATATGCTAGTCTATTTTGTACTTCAAGGCAGTGCATGATGTCAATTTAAGCACTACATCTACTTTTTTTCGTAATTATTAAGTGCTTTGAAACTTATAAGAATAAAGTTTTAATTTGAAAAATAGTATGAAACTAATAATGTTAAAAAGATTAAATAAGAAGGTCAATACTCAACCAATAATAGTTAAATGCTAAATTTAATACTAAAACTATTTTATAGAGTAGCTTTTCTGTTCAAATACTAAATTTGGTATTGGTACACTAGTTTCGCTCTACATTTAAAGATGCTCTTGTACTTCATTGTTTAATTGTCCACTGAATCAATAAAATTGATTAGGGACTTTTCGTATTTTACTTTTCTGACAAAAAAAAAAAAGAATAAAAAGAACAAATACTTTTTCATTCTTCTTCCCTAGAACATTTCTACGTATGTTGTGCAAGCCAAAAGTCATTGTATTACGACCCTTCACGTATTGTTACATGCAGTTGACTCAGCTTTACAACACTCATCTCATAAAAAAATGTGGACAAGTAAATAAACTTGGAATAACGTTCTTTACTTATAGGATAATGACTTAGAGAAATCCTAGTTTTATTTTGATTTTTTGTTTTCAAAAGGGAATATCCGACTTTGAATTCTACTAACTTATCAAAAATAAACTCCAAACCATTATTAATTAAAATCCCATGTCACAAATTAAACTTTAATGACAAACCAAAATTAAACATCCAATAAAATTAAACATGTTCCAAATGTTCCGAAAAATAGTCATTCCCACGAATCGATATATGTTAGATATGAATTAATTTATAACTTTAAATAATTAGATTATGCAAAAAGTAATTTTGGAACATACAGAGTGGTGGGACCACACTAGCTGATGCCAATATGAGGGGGCCAGGTCGGTACTCACACCACAGAGAAATCTTTTACAATTTATCTAATTTGATTTCTAATAAGTTTGAAAAGATTGACTTTTATGTGGGTATCTAAATTTGAATCAAATTAAGAAATATGATAAAGTTGAAAACTATATCTTCCTGGGAGATAAGGTGGCGCCAACCATAGGGATATATCCCTGTGGTGGTTGTATTTGACAAGGATATGGAGAAATTTTGTTCCAAGATTCAAACTGGGTACTCTTTCTATAAATATGAAGTATTGAGAAAACCTCTTCAAAAGAGAAAAAGAGAAGAAAATATCTTCCACTTTCAAGTCCCGCTTTGCTTATGTGTTCAGATTAGTGGAAGAGAAAATCAGTAGAGTGATCATTCTTACTTATTCTAAACACGCCCACACGCATGTCTAGTTAGTTTTCAAGAATCGACGAGAATGATTCGTGGGGTCAAAGGATTTAGAAGTGTTTGAGGGTTTAAGATTCAAGTTATCATCCTAATCGCTTTTATTGTGTAAATAAATAATTTGATTATTTGTTTAAATATGTGTAAATTAATATAATGCTACAGAGTATAGCTAAAAAAGTTTTTTTTTTTTTTTTTTAAGTTTTGTTATACACGATATGTTTCAATATCTCTTCTGCCTGTTTTTCGTCTAAAATCATTTCAAAAATCAATACTAGTATTCCCTGCTATCAATGTTATTACGTCTTTAAAATGTCGAGGTAATTTCTAAATAAATCTCGCTCATTAACATCAAAAGACATAACATATGAATATGAGTCATCCAATCACTCAAGATTGAAGTCCCTCCTTAAATTGGCCATCTAATATAAATAAACTATAAGTTCTCTATGTTTAAATAGATTTAATTAAAGAACTAGAACCGTTTTTATGCACCCCAATATATAGGTGTCTTTATACAATAATCAACGCTACAACGATCTACATTACAACATCACATAATTAGAGGCTAGAGGCTAGTGGCTAATATTGAATCCTTAAGATATTTTACTCGCAAATAACACAAAAAAAAAATGATAATTATATGATTTATACATAAAATGTCTAAACTTAAATTAAAATAATGTCAAAGTAGAAATTACATTAGTTGGTTTAAAAGCACCATATTCCAACATAAACAATAATTCTTGCAATTAAGTGATAGGCAACACCACAAAATTGTCAAAAATAATGTCCACAGCTTCATTTTACCGATGAGGACCTTTATTAATTTATACAAAAACCTTTACTTATATCTTCTGTACATGATCAACATATATTTAAGTAAAATTAATCTAAACTAATTAACATTTTAACTAACCACATTTTAAAACCAACATTACTAAAAATTATGAACACAATAAGCCTAAACCAAAATCATATATAAAACTAATTATCACGAATATAATTATTAATAAAAAATAATTACCGCTGTCAGATAATAATATTATTAAAATCATCGTCTAATAACATTATTACTAAAACTGCCAGTTGATGACATCATTATAAATTATTAACTAACTCTAAATCAGACACATTATTGTACATTTGAGGATAAAAAAATGATCTTATGTATTTGTTTTGTTACGCCAAGGAACTTGCCTGTCAATTTAAAATAATAAATAATAAAAGTAAAAGAACGTACCTATCAAAATATATTTACCTTTGTTTTGTGTGATCAATTGAGAGAGGACATGATACCGCGGTTATGATTTATGACTCAAACAATTCTTATAACCAAAAGTAAGAAAGTGAGATTTAGAGGATAATTTTATATCGCATATCTAAGGGAGCTCTCTAAATTTTAGTTAAATTCTATCTAAAATGATTAGAAAGTTATTTTAGCTAGCAATTTTATAATAAGTCACTCTAACTATACTCCCTAATTTAGTTAAGTATCGATTATTTTAACATTTATTGAGTTTAATAATATGAATAACTTTATTGAATTTTAAAAGAACCTTTGTATTTTTTATGGTTTGAAACAATAAAATAACACAAAAAATCAAATAGCTAGTCACTTCTTGCTAGCTATATTTAGCTAGTACGAAATAGGTGCTCCAAAATAGCTAATCATTTAGCTAATGGTTGGAGTGTAAAAAAACAAAATTCTAACTAAATCATTAGTCAATTTAACTAAAAACGTGAAATTGCTAATATGGTTGGAATTGCTCTTAAATCTAAAATTTTTAGTAATATTATACTCGCTATTATTACTTTTTGTCTTTAAATAACCGAATCTCAATATGGTCTTAGACTGCATAATCATATTTCCTACGTAAAAATTTTGCCTTAACTCTTTTCAGTTCGAACATCTATATTTGACATATTGATTTTGAAACAGTAGTGTCATAACAAAAATCTTTGGACCAAGAAATTTTCAAGAAATGATATTGACATTCGTGATCACTATTAACATGATGACCAATTATTTTAAAATGTACGTATATAGTTTTCGTTACTTCCAAAACTCCGCATTGATAGCGTGATCTTAAGGACATTCGTGATCACTATTAACATTTCTTTTCTTATTCCTTAGAATTTCATATTACTATATATGCATATACAATGGAAAACTGTAGAAATGAAATTTTAAACAATTACCTATATTTGGAGAGGAAACCAATGTGAAATGGCATTGGAAGCATCACTTATACCACAACAAGGAAAACTCCCGAGCCTCATCTTTTTCTTGTGATGACAAATAATACTCACTAATATATTCATGTACGTCAAACACTCAACATTATCCACGTGAAGCATTCGACAACCAATTTAAGTCTTTAAGTAGCAATATTAAGCAAAGGTTCAACAATTCGTACTTGAAATTTTCAGTTCTCTTTCTCTTCCATTCGTAGTGTGAAGGTGAGCCTTTCATTGAAAAAGAATTCGGAATGAAAGGTTTCACTTTGAAAAGGATGTCTTCTTATTCTAGTCATGTAGAAAATGAGAAGGATAAAGAGAAGACGATTTCACTTTTAGATTTGCCTGAATTGATCTTGGAGTGCATTTTTGAGCGACTTTTACCAGCCGACTTGTGCAACATGATAGGAGTTTGTACCTTTTTGAGGGTAATGTGTACTAGTGACCATATATGGGAGAAGCACTTGACGCGAAAATGGGGTAAGCTGATTGGTGAGGCTGCATACCGAAAATGGATCGGCGATGCTGCTTACCGAGCATGGCAGGCTCATGTGGCCTCATGGAATGGTCCAAACTTCCTCTATAATCGGAAAAGGAAAAGGGAATACATGTTAAAATCTCCTCGCGTAGCGCTGCGATTTTCAAGGATTAGGGATAACCTAGAAGAAAAGAGTTGTGAGGCGAGTTCAGGTACTTTACCAGTTGGTCATGTCATGGCTTTCTATCTTGCTCTTGAGAGTGGGAAGTTCTGGTTCCCAGCCCAGATCTATTATGGTGGGGTAATAATTATTCTACAATAACTCTAATTACTTGTACAACATTATTCTTTTCTTGTTCAACTACGGTATTAATTATGTTATTAATCATTAACATAATTTTCTAATTAATTCTTTGTGTGGGTGGAAATCAATGAAAATGAAGCCTAATTTGTGTGTTTCTTAATGCAGAATGGTTATACTGGGGCTATGCTTTTATGTTATGATGCTCAGGTTAGCTATGATTACAGCACTGACACCTTTCGGGCAAGGTATGGGCTTGTTGAAATTTACTTCCTTAAGATTTTACTGATTGTGTGGTCAGAAAAGAACACATATGTGTACAGTGCTAGAATATAATCTAGATATTATGTCACGTTCTTGGGTCAAAAACCACGATTTTTTCCATGTGAAATGTCAAAATAGAACGGCATGGGCGACCACATGAAAAAATAATGTTGTCGTACTCATACTTCAACCTTGTCTATGTTTCCATTAATCCTTGTATTTTCCTCACCTAGAACGTTACGTCTTTATTTCATTCCTTCCTACTTTAATTCCTTCTTACTCACAATAGCCTAAAACATTTTTTTTCTATCACGATTGCACGATGTCCTTGAACCTCGTCCGCATTGGCCCACCAGACCCCAGCCTATCATAATATCATAATATCTTTACGGTTTTTTACGATTGACCCCTCGTCAGATTGTTTTTACAGTTTTTTTCTATCATTATATCTTTTAGTTTCTTTGTTTTGAAGCCTCAAAGATCTGTTTCAATACCTTGATATGCCACTTTGACTCTTTAGTACCTCAATGGTTGTTCTCATTTGATTAGTTCACCCATTAAGGAGCTTTTCTTGAACTCGTGATCAGACTGGATCATTCTTTTCGGTATTGCAGTTATCCAGCTCATGTATGGGGGAGAAAAGAGACAAATATAAAGTGGGATAGGCTAAGGGCGGCACCCGTTGACACTCCTGATCCATTTACGCCTCATGTATCTGATTATTTGCATGACTTAAAACCCGGTGACCATATTGAGATCCAGTGGAAAAGTCATGATAAATCGCCTTATGGTTTGCTTTCGCAGCTCAAACTATAAATATGTTTATATTTGAACCTCTAAACTTAATTAATTTCATCAGGGCGCTCATCACATTTGCAATATTGTAGGTTGGTGGTATGCCCTCGTCGGTCACTTGGACCAATGTGATGAGAATGTTAATCATTGTCGTTGTCCTTACAGTGGTAAGATACAAATCCTTTTTCTTTTTGTTTTTTTTTTCCTTTGACATATTCGAGATATGCATGGAATATGTCCTGGACGGCAAGAAATCCTTATAGTATACAATAACGATATTCTTTTGAATTGTTTCACTTCTATTTTTTCCTAGAGATGTCGTCCTATAACGAGACTCTCTTCATTCCATACACAAGATACTTATATAATCAAATTACTGAGCAAATGATTGTTATAAACTTGTAATTGATCATGGACATTCTGGATCAAGAGATCCAGTTGAGTTGAGGATGGAGATTCGTCTATGATTCTTATACGAATAGAGTTCAAGGATTGAGTTCTTTAATTACATAGAAAACTTTAAATTTGATATATTTGTGGCCTTGTTTGTTCAAGAAATTGGTTATAAGGGTAGAGAGTGGAATGCCTACATAACTCTGTGGAGACAGGGTATCCCTACGTGACATATGAATCCCACATACTTGCCTACAGAGAAAGGACTCGCCAAAAACTCGAACCCATGATCTAACTTAGAATAATAAATAGCGCCACCACTCCACAAAATGATTTGAGCGTGTGCTATGGGCCCATTTGGTAACGTTTTCAAAATGATATTGTTATCAATATAAAAGTAAAATTGATATTGTTGTTAAAATCATTCTGAGACCGATTCTAAAATTGCGTTTAGTTAGTTTTTTAAGAGATTATTTTGAGTATAATAAAAAAATGAAATGATGTTTATAATTATTAATCAATATATTATAACATTGTTGATAAATGAAAACAAAAAATGGAAAACAACTTTCAATCGTTTTCTAATTCCTTCACAAAAATCATTCTCACTGTTTTTTATTTTCGTTTTTATTTTCAAAACATTTACTAAACAAATACAGTTTACATACCGTGTTTTTATTTTTGTGCCTCAAAAGGCATGCAGAAACGTTTTCAAAAATAAGCAAAAATTAATTCCAAACGCACATTATATTTGTGGTTTGGTTTTTCAATTATTTTTTCCCTTCCTTATTGAATTGCATCATTTAGTTTCAGCTCTTGTAATATTGATGTTCTTGCATATTTGTTTCTTCAAGTCTGTGTGTTCTATTTCTACATTGTATTCGTCATCTCACAACTACGAGATCTTTGCTAGCAGATACATTAGTAGTGGAGTTCAAGCAATACCCTCCTGTCTCAATACACAGACGAACGATGCTAAATCGAAAGCACCATCTCAGAGAAGGGAACGCAGCAGATCGATTATATGGCGGAATTAGAAAGATTTCCAATGAGGAGGAGATTTCTAAGTGGTTGCACTCTTTGCCAAATTAGTTAAATTATGAAAGGCCCGTTTGGTTCATATATTAAAAACATGATTCTTAATTCTAGAGTTAAAAATTTAAATATTTTGTGAGAGAAAAACACTGTAGTAAAATTAAGAATCGTGATTTGAACGTAGAAAATAAATGAGCCCGGAGACTAGTATAAGGTCGATCGGCAACTCTTGTCCATGACTAGTAGAAAGAATGTCAAGCAAGCCACTACTTTTTGATCTTTAGATCAGAATGAAGAGTTCATAGTTATATGAAAACCTATTCCAAGCCCGTAGTACTCCCTAGTTTTCTTGGTCTCAACATTTGAGAATTATCTTTGGAACAAGTTGTTCCCCATATTTTCAGCACGGATCCATCTTTCTAGACTTTAGTCCGTGTAGGAAGCTTATATCTAATACTACCAAGCATTCAATTTATGTTGAAGCACGAAGTGATCAATTATGTATTTGGAGAGTTATTTTCTGCAAAAAAATATGTTTTCATGTTCTTTCTCTCAATTTTTCTATTGCAATTGTTCATAAATACCTACTATTATTCTTAAAGTCAGGGACGTGAATTGTTTGAGTGAATATCTCTTCTCATTAAACCATCAAAAATATTACACGTACATAATTAGAAAAAAAAAAAAAACAAAAAACAAAAAAAAAAGGCCTAGCTACTGTTGTGCAGAATAAGTAAAACTAACTCCTAGATTTTAGGATACACGGATCCTTCTTTGAATTACAACAAGATAGTGTGTCATATGATTAGAATTAAAAGAATTTTCTTAAATTATTTTAAATAAGAAAAAGAGATCAATGGCTATGATCACACCAACATATGAGATGATCTAAAGGCTAGATTTGATTATGGAACCAATGGAGAGCACCATATGATCCAAGGGTGGAGATTAGTTTTAGAATTAATGGGTAGAATTTATCCATTGCATGTCTTGATCGAAGTGTTAGAATTTGAGATGAAAAACTATAAATAGGTAGAACATGGCTCATTTAATACATGTTCATTTCAAGGCACTTAGAGAGAAAGTGCGACGACCCTTACTTCTAGTCATCATTACTACGTTCATACTTAATACATACTTTAAAATCATAGACTCCTAAAATTTAGGCTACTTTTTTTATCTTCAATGGTGAAATAAATTCTAATATATTTTACCACGTTAAAACTTCGGTTGGTATTTCATAGTAAAACTTGAATATTAAAAGTACTTTTCAAAAAACATTTTCAACATCTTAACATTGAATAACTTGTAGATAAAATTCTTCTAATACTTTAAAATCCATTCCTCAGCATGGTCATACATTCGACCTACCATTTGCATACCACTGTCGTTCTCATGCCATTAACCTGATAGCATTTTGGGTATATCATCATACTTTGTGATTTGAGGTTGCTAAGCATAGCCTCATTGTCTCATATACCTTACTTTCATTGCATAACTTGCTTACTCTCACATCCATAAATACTACTTACTTTATACATATAGCAATGTTTTCAAAACACGTGGTCCATCTATTACAAGTGCCCACATCCCACTGCATCATTTTTTGCACGCCCAACATATAGGTTTCAGGGAACAGGTGCTTTATCCGAACTTTCTACAACACGAATAAACGGGATGAGCTTTCGCTCAAGAAGTAACAGCAATGCATACCCATATATGCACTCATGTCATACATCCTATCACATTTTCTAACCATGTAAAACGTTTATCATTTTATGCTTTCTTATAACTTTTGATGCTTTTTTGTGTCGTTCGTTTTTCATAGCTTTTACTTGTTATGCATGTGTTGGCAATGCATCTAAAATGATAGTTTCTTACCACTGTGCTGACAACTGCAGTGATTCTCACTACCATCACAATACTCCAAATGACCAATAACGGCATACCGCCAACCTAAAATTAACACAATTTCAGAGATTATTATCCAACAGCAGTTCTCATGCCATTTATGTTAGAAATTCATAAATCTATAAAGTTGGGGTCAAGATATAAAACCATAAGGTAATTCATTGCTTCTTCTCCGTTTGATCTCAATATGGTCACCCGGTTTTAACTCGTTTAAACAATCAGAAACATGAAGCATATATGGAAGAGTGCCCAGCTGTGGTCGTCTATGCTTATGCCATTCTATATTTACCTCAGTCCTTTCCCGATCCTCAGAAGGATACCTGCATTAACACGGAATAGAATTATCCAATTCTTGACTACTTTCTAGTTAAACGCCAAACCAACAACTGGATTATAAGTAAAAGCTCATGGGAGTAATACATTTTCTTATACCTTGTTACAAAGGTATTAGTTCTGTAATCATATTTAACCTTAGCATGAGAACATAACAAATCATTGCGTCCATAATTATTCTGCATCAAGTAATTCAAATTAAGGCTTAACATGAGCGAAGAAGAAATCAACAAGAGTTGCGAGTAAAATTAAAGAGTTTCGGAGAAGATGAAAAATACTCGGGGACACCAGTAGAGTCCAACACCAGAACTAAATAGAAGGTCAGTTTAGATTGCCATTGTTGGTAAGCATATTCAACAAGAACTTTACCCCACTTCTGCTTCAAATGTTTCTCCCATAGATGGTGACTAGTACACATTTCGAGATATAATCTTTTCTTGAGTGTTCACACATCTCCTGGAGCTTACAATGTATTAAATAAAAATTATAAAAGATATTCTTGAGTGACCATAGTTTCAAATCCTTACAAGTGAAGATTGACAGACTCCAAAGCCTCGTAATTTGGTGGCTATAGAATAGCCAACATCTTACGTTAAAGTTTAACAATATTGTAGAGAGAAAGGTTATCCTCAGGTTGAACTAGCTAATCATCACCATTTGTACTCAGTAGATGGTACCAAAAAACACAATCAAGTTATATTGGAAAAAATCGAGCTGTGGTTTTGTTGTGTGGAAAAATGTGGATGACGCGTAGAAAAATAACAGTGTGACACGTGGTCTTGTTTTCCCTCAAAAGGCAACAACCCTCGACGGTGGGGATTCCCTTTCTTTCTGCTGCAAGGGAAGCCCAACCTTCGACGCCGACTCCGCATGACGACAACAGGTCGTACCGTCGACCTTACGGCAGGAATCTTTCGGGAAGAAATTAATTGCCAAGAAAGACAACTAGGCTGAGCAAATAGAGACGGCGAGAGGAATGCCCGAAGAGGGGAAAGGCTGAGATCGCAAGTTGCGTGCGGAAATGGGAGATGTCTGCAGTACAGGCATTAAATGCAAACCCTTAAACCGCCCTACGGGGGACAGAAAAGGGTTACAGGTACGCACAGAGCCATAATGGGAGACTAATTGGCTGAGTGAACAGTTCGCAAAAGTGATTAGTGGGCTACGGTCTGGGCCTAGAAAGGCAGACCACTTGAGTGCTTCTGCCTACAAGAGGAAACCCACCCGACGAAAGAAGCTCGACTATAAAGATGGGCGAAGCCTCATATAGGAAGGAGGTTGGTTTTTTTCCCGAGAGAAGAGAACGAGAGCAACAATTGATGTAAATTGTAACAATCTTGAAAAGAATATAAAACTACAGTGGATGTAGCTTTTCATTTATAAGAGTGAACCACTATAAATTTTGTGTGTTTTTCTACTTCAAGTATTTTTTTCTCATATTGCTCACTACACAAAAAATACCACAAACACTTCACTCCGTAAACTGAGTATACGGTCAATATCAAGTCGGTAATCCAACGGGATATCTAGAAGTGACCCGGCCTATTTTTGTTGACGAGTTTTCACCGTCAACAGGTTTGTTTCTTTGATCATTGTTGACGTTATTTATTTTCATACTTGTCAATACCTAGGGTTTCTTCTTGTGGATATTGATTGATTTATTTGGTTGTATTGCTCTTTGGAATATTCTTACTTTGTGATTTATCAAGTGTTTATTTGAGTTCTGTTATTTCGGCTAATTGTATTAGAGTGATTTATGAGATCTTTTCAATAATTATTCAAAAAAAAAAATTTTTAAACTCAATTCACTCCCTCTTGGGGAGTCATTCTTGGGCTAACATTGTTGATCGAGACTCTGATGAAGCTCAAGAAGTTGAAGTATGTAGAGGACAGACAAAGAGAGACAGCAAAACGGTGAGAATTTTTTTCCTTTATTTTGGAATTTTTATTTAATTTCATTGAATTTTGGATTTAATTTTTCATTGAATTTTGTATCTTGGATTTAAATATATGAAAAACCCATGGTGGGGGAAAAACAGAGCCTTTTAGGGCACTAGTTTTTTGTAAAGAGAAACAAAGAGAGAGGCATTCTGACTGGATTGTACTTTGTCCTCCTTTCTCCAATTATAGTCTTACGGCGGCAACAAGTGGACATATATGAGCAGTGACGAAGCCAAAAAATTTATTGGGGAGGGCTGGAGTTAAATGAAAGTTTCAAACTAATTTAATAGTATAATAAATCTCGTTGTTATTCTTTTACTATTTATTTTTTATAATATTTTCTATATTTAATAGTGTAATAAACCTCGTTATTCTTTTACAATTTATTTTTTATTATATTTTCTGTTAATCTAGGGATATTTCTTTTTGTTTATTTCTACAAATATATGAACTCAAGTAGTTATTGTATGATATTTTGTTTATTTGGGTTTTTTATATTAAAAATTATAATAGATACAGGCAAAAAAAAAATTAAATAATAAAGTATAATTAAAGATAAGAACTAAGAGTGTAAGTGAAAATATTTAGAATATTGCATAAAATTTCAAATTATAAGAGAGTTAAGGGGAAAATAAGATAAAGTGTAGAGAAAATAAAAAACTTTAAAAAATTAAACTTTGCTTCAAGGGCACTTTAAAAATTATTAAAACAAATTAGAGGGGGCTAAATAAGAAAAGATAGGCATTAGAACTGAAAATTCAAAAAATGGGTAATGGGGGGCCTCTTGGGTCGAGCAGCTTGAGCCTCCTCTGGGCCCAAGCTGCCTCCGTCCCTACATATGAGAGACATTGAGAATGAATCATTATAAATCTCGTGTGTATGCTGTGTTTATTTTGTTATTGTTCTTGTTTGTTTGGTTTTTTTTTTTTTATCTCTTGCTCTCTCATAGTAGAAATTAGTTTGGCGTTTAATTCCAAACATCTATCGGTGTTATGACCTCAATTATTTAGACAGTGACTGGCAGAAATGTATTCCTAACAAAGATCCCCAGTGCAGAGAACAGAAAACAACTTGTCTGTCAATTAGACAATTTCATGTCACTATTTACATACTTGGAATGTCTCTTCTTTCTAATAGTGGCTTCCCTTAGAATGTCTCTACAAGGTACAAACTCTTCATTTGCTACCAAAGAGCAAAAAACTAGTGCACTCACTCACGGAATTTCATCGACCTTTACTGTTCCAAGGCTTGATTAGGCCAAAAGCGCCTCCACCTCACAACCTCCTCGTCGTTGTAAAGCTTTCTAATTCCGCCGTAGAACCCGTTCGCTTCGTTCCCTTCCTCGCGGTGGTCCTTCCTATTTATCGTCGTCCGTCTCCATCGGGAGCCAGGATTGTATTGGTTGAACTCGAGCACTATTGTATCTGTGAGTAGCAATGCCTACTTATGAGATACTCAACTAATGTAGTAATGATCCAGGAAAACACCACAAGTGTAACAATCAAATATGGAAGAACAGGATTTATCAGAACTAAAACTAAAATGGAATAAATTTGAAAAACTTTGAGATATCAAAACTACGGCCTCGTTCACTTCGCGGATTCGAGTTTTCAATTCGAACTGAGATGTGATATTTTCTGAGAGCTTTTCACTGTAGCAGAAAAAATTAGATGTGATATTTTCTTAGAGCTTTTTATTATAGAAACCAAAAACTGAAAACTCAAATCGGTGAAATGAACGAGGCCTACATTTATTAATTTTATATCATGCTTCTGATCTCTCTGTGTAACAAGCACAGAGGGAAACTCCAGAGTCGACTCATTTACATCTCGTAATCCCGGAGTTTCGTCCATTAGAAGTTCACTATTGCACACAAGAAGGTAACAATTTAAAAGAAATTCACATCTTGGTTTTGCAGGGAAAGAAGGGTGGAAAGACAGAATCCAACAAAGCAATATGTTAGCTTTTCTCAGGCTGTAGAAATATTTATAGAATTAGTCAATTAAAACATAGATTACATGGGATCCACCAAAACAGCTATAACATGTTCTCTTATTAATTTTCCCAGTAAAATTATCTTCTTCTTTTTTCAAGTATCCATAGCCTTGTTTTGAGGTTTAGTCGTTAAGAAAAGGTCATAATTTCATTGATGTTCTAGTCCTACTCTGTGAGAAATGAAAATGGAGAGAAATCTGGAAATAATCTGAAATAATTATCTTACCACTGTAATAACAACGGCAGTGATTCTCATTTCCATCACAGGGCTCCAAGTGACCAACAAGACCATACCACCAACCTAAAATACAATTTTTCCGAAATGATATGAGTCTTGATGCCTTTTTAAGTCAGTAGATTGAAATAGAAAGTTGTCTCAGAAACCAACCATAAGGGCATTCCTTGTTTCTTCTCCACTGGATCTCGATATGGTCCCCGGGTTTTAAGTCATGTAAGCAATCAGAAGCATGTAGCATAAACGGAGGAGTGTCGATCGGCGGCGCTCGTAGCCTATCCCACCCTATATTTTCCTCTGCTGTCCTCCGGCCGTGAGGAGAATACCTGCAATATGGAATTCAATATGAGTTGAAGAAAAAGGCATTTCTTTAAAGGCGAAACTTATCAATCAGACCACACAAAACAAAGCCTGGATCCGTAAAAGCTCGTGGGATATGAAATTGTAAGAATGAAAATTTGCCAATACCTTGCCTGAAAGGTGTCAGTCCGCGAATCATAGCTAAGCTGAGCATCATAACACGACAGCATAAATCCTATGTGACCATTCTGCATCAAAACAATAACCAGAAAGAGACAAACTTCAACAAATTATTTACATATTTGGCAGGTAAAGCTGGTACCAAAAAAAAAAAAAAATGGTAAAATTGTAGATAATAAGTGTAGAAAATTTTACCTCTCGATTGTAGACCTGAGCCGGGAACCAGAACTTGCCACTCTCAAGAGAAAGATACCAAGCCATGACTGAATCAACTGGCAAATTAGTCCTCACCTTGCTATTCTTTTCTATTTTTGGCCTAATCCATGAAAAGGGCTGTGCACTAAGAAGAGACTCGAACAATCCCTTTTTCGTTTTCCGATATGCGAGATTCGATCCATTCCTTGAGGCCACATGACATTGCCATTCTCGGTAAGCCCTATCACCAATCACTTTACCCCATTTCTGCTTCAAATGACTCTCCCACAAACGGTCACTAATGCACCTTTCCCTCAAAGAAGAGCAAACCCCGGCCATGCTGCACAAACCCGCCGGGGAAAGCCGCTCGAAAATGCATTCCAATGTCAATTCAGGCAAATCCAGAAGGGAAATCATCAACTCTTTCTCCTCCACATTCTCAACTAGTCTTGAACAAAAAGTCATCTTTTGCAATGAAAGGTTAATCTTGGGGACTTGGAGAAAATTTGAAGAAAAAATAGTCCTGCTTTTGCCAAACCAGGATAGAAGAAATCTGGAAAACTTCCCACAGAACCAGATTGACAGAAGTTTCAGAACACCCTCACATAATTGCAGTGCCTTGTGAGTAAAGAACTCAGAGAGAAGGATTAAGGGGACACAAGATATAAAAAAGTACAGCATAGGAGTAAATGGGATTCCAAGTTTTGAGCTTGACATCAAGAGGAAAAACAAGGAAACAAGAAAGGAGAGCTATTTGCAGATGAGCAACTGACTGTCCCAATATATATATATATATATATATATATATATAAGAGAAAGAGATGCTATATGTAATAATATATTAAAAAAAACTATTGAGTAAATTCTTCTTTTAACTGATGGAGTAAAACAAGGTCCACACTTTCTTAACAGTTATTAAAACGAGGGAAACTCTGTATACACCACAACCGACATTTTTTTTGGTTGTTAGGTAGTTAATATAACACACCAAAACTTAATAAAATAAATAATTGTTTTTATGTGACAGAAAAAAAAAATTAGTGGGAGGTTGCCTAAAAAAATGCTAGTGCTATCCACATAATACAGTAAATTCCCACAAACAAAGGGAACCAAAGAACAAGAAGGACAAGTTAAAGATTGAAAAGATGGGAGAGGGAAATAAAGAATAAAATCTTAGGAGCAATTTTTATGCTATGGATTTAGAAGGTGAAGAACACATAAAATATTAGAATAAAATAAAAGGAGATTGAGACAAAGCATTTATCAAAATCTGCGAATTTGGGTAGAAGTAATCCAAAATCTTTGGAAAGTGGAAGAAAAAAAACAGATAGAAGTAGGTGGCAATCGACCTAAATCTTATGAATTATTAGACACTGATAACATTTTCTAAACTAGAGACTCCTAATCAAAAAAAGAATAAAAAAAAATACTGGTATTAGAAGAACATATACCCAACACTTGAAGATGGACAAACCTGAAAGTGGGCCCTCCCCATTAGTCCAGAACTTCACCACAACTCCCCCTCTCTCTCTCTATCTCTCTCACTGAAAAAAAGAAAAAAAAAAGTTAGAGAAAGACAGGTCTTTAAGGGTATGTTTAGTTCGCTGATTTGAGTTTTTAATTTGAGTTAAGATGTAAAATTTGAGTTTTTAATTCGAATTGAAATATAATTTTATATGAGAACTTTTTACTGTAATAAAAAAGTTAAATGTGACTGTTTCTGAAAACTTTTTACTGTAACAAAATATAAATTAACAAAACAAACGAGGCAATGATTTTCTTGGAGATTAAAATAAAAATAAAAAAGAAATAAAAGGAGTATACTTTACGGTGGGTGACAATAATGTGGTTTAGACAGTGAGCCATATAATAAAAGCCAACCTGATCCTTTGCCTACCGTCCACCAAACTCCAACACCTTTCTTCATTCCTTCCTTCACTGTGTAACAATTCACCACCATAGATAAAAAAAATAAATATAAATTTAAAAAAAAAAATGATGGGCCCACAATTTTAAAGACCACGATTGCGACCGTTCAGATGTATTAATATTTCGGTGGAGAAGACGTGAACATATATATGTGATGAATATTATGTGTGTCTTCACGAGAAAAAGACAAGGCACTAGTTTTGCATTGTTGTTGTACCAATGACACTTCCAATGCCCCTTGACGTTGTTTTCCTCCCTGTCAGTAGCAATGTAAGATTTCTATTTCAACTTTCTCCGGTACGTTAATACACTGATAGGTCAAGTTTTTTATCCGTTAAATTTATATAAAATCACGTAAAAATTAAAAAATACGTAAATATCATAGTTAAAACACTCTAACCTACCGATACGGTAGAAGTGACAGAAAATATAAAAGAAAAAAATAAAGGGAAAAAAAAGTCTTTTTTGGTTAGCCAATTCTGGTTGTTATACTTTTACAACTGTGCTTCTTAAATTGTGGAGGAATTTTCTTCCAGTTTCATACCAGATTTTTGACTGTTTTGATATTACATTAGACTTAGATTAAAATTGAAATATTATAATTTAACATAATTTGATTAAAATTGGCAATTAAAAAAATGTACCTTATCCATATGATGAGCCACATTGTATTGAGTGAATACACCTGTCCCAACTCCAACTCAAATTTAGCAATTTTGATTTCTACTGGTAAAGTTTCAGGTAAATATATATGTATAAATAAATAAATTTTTCTCTACTAAATAAATAAATTTTTCTCTACTAAATAAATAAATTGTTGTGTTCTTATTGTACGAGAAAAATTATAATTGTACCCCTATTTAATAATTAAAATATGTAAATGAAATATTATCTATAATTATCTTTATAGTGCATACCAGCTTAGAGCGTCCGCGTAGCAAGAAAAATTTTAAAAATTATTAAATCCTTAGGCCCTGTTTAGAATTAATTTTATTTTTGTTTTTTATGTTTTTTGAGAAAGAAAAAATGAAAACGTTTTTAAAACAGCGTTTGGCGCAATAAAAACAAAAAATAAAAATGAAAACGATTTTTTAGTTTAGTGTAAAATGATAGAGAAATAAAAAATAACTTTTAGTCGTTTTTCATTTTTTGTTTACATTTCCTCATCTCTCTCGAGTAGAGAGAGAAAGAGAGACATTAATGAGTTTTTTTATACTGCTCTTAATAAAAACTACCGAACGCATTTTTAAAAATAATTTCTATCTGAGATTGAAAACGTTTTCATTTTCATTTTCATACAAAAAACAAAATCTTTTTGAAACGAGTTTCAAACGCATCATTAGGTTTTTCTCCTAAGTTGCTTGCTTACTACTGTTTTATTTGCATTTAGTTTTTGTTTTCCTAGGTCTTTTACATTTTAGTTTTCTAAGATATTTTTCTTTTAATAAAATTTTTGCTTATTTTTTTTTTAAAAAAAAGGAATATAGAAGGAAAAAGAAAGGAGGTTTTTTTTTTTGGGTTAGTTATGCATAACCAATTTTCTTCCTGTTTATGCTGTGACTGTGAATTCACATAGGCAATAATCATAGTTTACCTTATCTAATTATCTTTCAGTTTTGGAGATGCAGATAATTTATGCATAATTGTGCTGAAATTGTTCGTGCATTTTCGGACTTACCACCTTCTTAAAAAGTACAAATTGATATTTGCTTCTTGTCTTGTTGGTTTGTTATCTGAGAAGTATAAGAAGACTATATAGGGAATGTGTTCGTTTGTTTCGCTGATTCGAGTTTAAAATTCGAGTTTTATTACAGTAAAAAACTCTCACAAACAGTCACATCTAACTTTTTTATTATAGTAAAAAACTCTCACATAAAATTACATCTCAACTCAAATTTTAAATTTAAATCAGCAAAACGAACGAGACCTGACTTAACTAATTAAGGATCTGCATAGATAGTATCACTTTTCCATAATTAATATTATAGATAGGCTAGGATAATGACAAATTAGGTTTAATTAATAAGAATTTTACTACATGTTATATAGGTATGTAATATAATAGGAGCTCTTAATATATATTTATATATATAATATGTACGTCCTCTGGACATCTGAAGAGAGAATAAATGTCCAATAGCGATGTTATTAATGCACCGTCTTGGAAAGAACGAAACTTCAAACTTATAAATATGGATATAGATTTTTTTTTTTTCCTCTCAAATCTTGGAAATATCTTTGTCCCAAGATTTTGGTAATTATATGACTGTGTACATTGCGTCAGAAGGGACATCTCATTTGTATTAAATTCACTCTTTATCGTCCCGGTGTCGTTTTGTATGTTGAGGCAGGAAATTTAAGGTGCGTTTAGAGTAAGAATTTTTATTATAATTTAGATCATAATTCGTAATTTATTATAATATTTTTTTTATATAAAATAGATAAAATTAAAAATAATTTTAAATTTATGAATTAAACGTCCTCATAAACTCGTCAGTTTATGGTAGAATCAAGTGTAAAATTATTATTAAGTCATGCTTATAACCACACTATTTATTTTTCAACAAAAGCGTGAATTTGAATTCGGTCTATCACACAATAAACGAGGTATATGGACAATAAACGAGGAGGTTTGAAAAATTTGTGGCCTGAGTAAATTCAACATTTTGTAAATTAAATAGTTTAATAAATTCTTAAGGGATATCTTATAATCGTTCTTCAACTATTTGTTCCTTTATTTTTTTTTTCCTTAATTCATATATAGTTGGGTATATTGCCACACCTTAATCTGCTCTTTTCACTCCTGCTTTTAATATTTTTTATTACTAAATTACCAGTTAATAAAATTACTTTGAAGGAAAAAAAAAATATTTTAAAAATACTCTTCACTCACCTTCCTTTAAGAGGAACTTTACGCCCTTTAAATACAATATATAGTAAATACAGAATCCTAATATATTAAAAAAAATGAGGAAGAATATAAGGTGACTTCCAACATCAATAATACGAACAATACAGGGTAACAGTAAGGAATGAGGATAATACAAAAGAGAGGTTACATTACACATGACTAATGGATAGAATAAAGGAATGCATGATTGGTTCCATTTAAGTGATATTCTGCCACAAATATTGAAATTAGAGTCCAATAAATTGGAGGATCTGAATGAGGAACACATTGGAAAACCCAAAATGTTTCATAACGAAATGTAGAGCCCTAATTGCATTTGTTCCTACTCTGATTGATGGTTGGAAAAGGAAGATTAATAAGCACAAGGAAAATTGGGCTGGGTGGTCTTTTTTAACCACCTATTTTCATAAATGGCCGAACTTTTTATTTTACAAAAATTGTCGTTATCTTTACATGAGTCGATCAGTAATTGACCAACTATCAATCAGTGATTGATTGATTCCCTCTGAATTTATTAATAGTTTATCATTAATAAATATGTAATTTGTTGCTGAAAATTGATAAATTACAACTTAATTTTGGTTAAGTTGATCAATAATAAAGAATAATCGAGTCAATCAGTGATTTACTGCTAAGTCTATCAGTGATTGACAGCTAAGTTTGACAGCTGAGTCTATTAGTGATTGATTGTTGAGTCTATCAGTGATTAACCACTAAATTATTAAAAAGTGTCATTTTTATAATTTTACAAAACTGTAGCCGTTTATGAAAAATATCCTTAAAAAAACACTATTTGTGCTTAAATCCCTTAGCACAATTTAATTGTAAAGACTTTTAGTAATTATTTAAATTTAAAATTTAATTGATGAGTGATTTTAGAAGAGAAA